AAAAAAAAAAAAAAAAAAAAAAAAAATTGATTTTTGTCCGGCCGGCTCGCGACCGGCCGGGGTCCGTCCGGCCGTCGGTTCCGGACGGACCAAAAGCCGGCCGGTTCGGCCGACCGGACAACCTTTGGTCCGTCCGGAACCGACGGCCGGACGGACCCGGACCGGCCGGAACCGACGGCCGGCCGGTTCGGCAGGTTCAAAAAAAAATTTTTTAAAAATACTTCCGGCCAAAAAAAAAAAAAAAAAATTACCTTGTTGGAGAAGAATCCTTTGCCGAGGCCGTAGAATTTTTTCGACATTTTTTTGGATTTTTTTTGACGCTCGAATCGTTCGTTGAAGTTCGGAAGTTTAGAGAGATAGAAAATTTAGAGAGATGAAATCAAAAAAAGGGTTAAGGGCAAAAGAGTAATTGGAGGGGGGGGGCGGTGACTAGTAAAAGGGGGGCGGTGAATAGCGATTGAGTTAACGAAATGGCAATTCCATTCAGCTCAAGGCAAAAAATGCCATTTCAAACAAATCATTTGAAGTTCATTTGCCTCTGGCTTCAAATGAAATCACACAAGAACAAATAATTACTGCTAGTAAGCAAAATAAAAAATGAGATGGCAAAAAACAAGCCGGAATATCGAGCTCACAACATAGACAACAAGCTGAGATATCACCAGAATAAACCAGAGCTTGAACCATCTCATTTCCAGCACATCCAAACTCTTAATATTGGCTTAAAAGCAGAATCAAATAAGTTATGACAAACCAGGGTTAAAACGAAGCCCTCATGGTATTGTCAAAGTCACAGTAATTCACGAAAGGAATTCTAACAGTATTTCTCCAAATAACATTCAGAGTATACATTTTCTCTTAGTTCACCAAAACCAAACTCATTCATCCAGGTCAGGCTAACTACTCCAGCCAACTCATTGACAAAATGTAAATTGTAAAAGCAGCACAGAGAGGACAAAATAAAATTAAAAAAAAAATTATATTACAATCACTGAATCCCGAATCCACAAATCTTCAACACTGACAATAAAAGAAAAAAAAAACACGAAATCGTTGTAAAAATTAGAAAGACAAATTTAAACAGGATACATCAGAACCGATACCCAAACCCACGAGTGGGAGAATTTTTTTTAGCATTGTCAATATCCACAAATCAATATGCATAAGTAGTCAGCTTGAATTAGTTGCTCTGTAAGGCTTATCGTTACCTCTTTTACCCTGTTGTCTGCTAACGCCAGCTCCAAGGCCTTTACCCACACCAAAATGATTGCTACCTAAGTTATTCACACCACTCGAAGAGGGTGACGACTGGGCCACATGTTGACCATCTCCAAAGCCCATTTGTCCCGGTTTTCCACTAAGCCCAGTTCCCAATAACACGCCATGTCTATTTGGAGCTATACCCATCACACTAGGCCCACCATTTATATAGCCAGGAAAAACAGGTGTAGGACTTGCAAACGGCAAAAAACTGCCCCTAACCATTGCAGGGGCCCAAGGACTCCTTGGGCCCACTAAAGAGAGCCCATAACCAATTCCATTATACCCACTAGATGGATAAACACCACCAAACATTCCAGGCCCATATGTGTACCCAGCAGGAAAATAGCCGAATCTTGGATTGTAAGGCATAATATAATCCCCCGACTGATAAGAATTAAAGTTAGAGCCTCTACTATTATCAAACCTTCCGCTATAACCATTGCCATTACTGTTACTCCCTTCTTTTGGCACGGCTCGTTTTACCTCCACGAGCTTTCCAGCCAATTCATGGAAGTTCTTCTGCATAACCTCCTCAACAGAGTCCTCCGAGACAAAAGTTATAAAACCGAAGCCTCTTGGCCTATGGGTCAGGTTATCATGCATCACGACTACATCAGTGATTCTACCGAACTTTGCAAAGTAACTTCTGAATTCGTCTTCGGTCAAGTTAGTCGACAAACCCCCTACAAAAATTTTCTTTGTCCTAAATTCGTCAGTGCTCTGATTGTTGTTAGTCCTACTAAAGTCCCTACTCACTCCCCTATTATGCTGTTGTTGACTTTGTTGTTCCCTCCTGGGAATAGCCCTTTTCACTTCCACCTAGTAAAAGACCGACATACATACGAATTCACTTTAAAAGAAGGTAAATAACCAAGAGAAACAACATATTTATTAACAGAGACTTATGCATTCACAATTGCATTTTATTGACAACATCATTTAGAAAAAAATGGCAACAAGAGAAACCAGGGGAAGGATCTCACAAAATAATTATAAAAAAGCATGTGCTAAGTTTGTGAGCTTCTCCAAAAGAAAAACACCTAGCAATAGAAAATGCACAAAGAATTTAACAAAAAATCCGATAGTCTCTTGAAAGAAAAGGAAAACTCATCCCTGAGACCCAACCAATTCTTACGAAGAAAAACCAAGTTCCAAAATAATAGCAGAGAAGAACAAAACCCAGATTCCAAAAGTCCCAAAATTGAGGGGGAATAGTTAAAACAAGGAAAAGGCTGCAGCTCGTAAACCAAGTAATAGAAAAGAATAACCACGCAATTAACAAAAAAAACACAAAGATCCAGCCATGCATTGAAGCACAACACACCCGAAGAAAGAGAAAAAAGAAAAAACCTAAAACCTTTACTTACAAACAAGCATGGAAAGAAAACGGGAACACCACACATGTTCAAAAGCCCTAAATCTAAACACCACTCAGCCGCCACACCACTCTCTCCCACCACCAAAAAGCAAACAAATACACACAAACAGAAGAAAACAGGAGGCAATACAAGTAGAATAAATAACAAACCGACCGTTCTGTTAAGAATCTGATGGGAGTCCTGAAGGGCCCGATCAACGGCCGACAATTCAGAGAAGGTCACAAAAGCGAAACCCCTGGGTTGACCCGAAAGCCGATCTTTAGCAACCACGGAGCCCGAAACGACGCCGTACTTGTTGAAATGCTCATTCAGAATATCCTCCGTCGTCTCCCAAGAAATGCCCCCAACAAACAGCTTGTTCTGCTCCGCATCCTCCATCTCCTTCCTCGAGCCCCAATTGCTCAAATCAATTAACCACGAAAAAGCGTCGAGAAAAAATAGGGAAACAACAAAGTTCAGAGTAAACGAAACTAGGGTTTTTGTTCCTCTCTTTGAAGTGAAATGTTTTGGGGGGAAAGAGGGAGGGAAAAGCTACAAGGGTTGGGAAGAGGAAATTAAAAGGGAATTCTTTTGTTTTTTGTGCTTGGAGTCCCGAAAGAGACGAGGTCCCTGTCGAAGGTGCTAACATAATTTTGTGTGTCAAAAATTTTATAAATCGGATAATAATTGTTTTATAAACGCTTTTATGAGATTGGATTCACTGTCTATGTAGGACTCTAGCCATCGATCATCAAATTGATTAAACTAGTTCAATAATTCACTAGTGGGACTAATTGTAAAATTGGTTGGACAGTATTTAATTTATTAAAAATGTTTTTTTTGATAAATTTAATATAATAATACGGGAACCATTTAAATTAATTATTACACTTTATTAGTTATTTATTATTATTATTCTATATTCATTATACATAATTTTACAATAAAAATATAAATTATTTTAATCTTTTTATTGTACAAATATAGTACATAAGTATCGTACTAGTGTATATATATAAGTTGACTCGGCTAAGTTAATGCCTGAACCAACTAGATTGCAGCCAAATCAACCGGATTTGGTTGGGTCCCATGTTACCCGTACAAATGACATCCATTTGACAACAATATAGTTAAAAAGATTCCAGAATCAGCACGCATTGACTCAGTCGGCTAATCACGTTTTTGTTTTGGATATTGCAGTAGTTAAAGAGTGCAAATTACAACATGAGCCAAGTTTTTCAAGAAACTAAGAACATTTCAATCAATTAATCTCTCTCTATAGACCTACTTAACTTTTCTTAATTGCTTTTATATCTTGAGTATGAGTAACCAAAACCACTCACAAGGAAACATATATTGATCTCTTCTCTCTAAAGCTTATCTCTAAAAAATTTTGGTGATGAAGGTTAAGGCTAAGATCAACACACTACAAACATACTTCTGGGAGTTCCTCACGTTTCTTTAGACTCCGGTATCAAGGTGCATGCAGACTCAGGGCTTGTTACAGTCAATTCTACGTATTGGACATACGTCGGCCGAGTTTGTTTGATCATCTCATGTTGATTTTATTTTATAGCTTTTGTTGCTATTATTATTATTTCGTTGCAGTTTGCATGCATGGTACATCCATTTTGTGTTTGGCTTTAAATTTAAATTTATTTTTGTTTTCGTTCACACCTTTAACTTTATAAAAAACGAATTTCGAATCCTTTTTCCGTCATGTTGGGTTCCCATGGTACGAAGAGTGTGTCGATCTGTGGGTTTTGAGAGGGGCGGCTAATGTGGACATGGAGGGAGGGCCCTGTGCAACATTGGATGACCCGATCATGTTTGACGACACGGATGAAGACAATGATGTTGGCGATGACCGGAATGAGAGGGGAAGGGAGGGGAGGGAATCTTTTAGTTTTCTCCTGTTTGGTTCAATTTTTTGGAGGAGGAGGGGTTAGGATTTTCTCTTCAAATCCCTCCTCCAAGGGAAAATACTCTCCCCTCCAAAAGTGGGGGAATTTGGAGGGGAGGGAAAATTTTTAACATCAAAATTACTTTTTTGACCTTATTATCTAAATTATATTAATGTTTTATTTCTTACATCATTAAGGGTATAACTGTCATTTCCACAATATTTTCTTTCCCTTTCATTTTTTTTAACTAAACAAGGTTTACTATTTTGCCTCCACTCACCTCCTACAAAATCCCTCCAAACAAGGTAAAATTATTTTACATCACCTCCCCCCTCCCCTCCCCTCCCCTCCCCTCTCTTCTATTAAAATCCCTCACCTCCCTTTCGAACCAAACAATACCATAGCCAATAACATATTCGTAATACATAACTGATTTTTCAATCTAGTTTGGGTAAAGTAATATTAAAAAAATAAAGGTCCTTTTATTGTGTTGCATTAATGACAAAGGATATTTAGTATGAGTTCCTATCGAGAGGGTCAATATATAACCACGTAGCCAAAGCGGGACATATGGTATACATCTTTATATATACTTGCCCTTTTGCCTATTTATGCAGTTTTTCTATCCATTTAAGATTTGCATGACTTTGTGGGCAGTTGAAACATCAATATCATCCATTTAATATCCACCTAGTTTTAACATGGCTAACACACCCATATGTTGAACACAAATTTTGGTCGGAGGAAGATCAATATATGTTATAATATCTTTACAGAAATGAAGATTTAAATTTTGAAAAATAAAATACTTCTATTTATATTACTTTTGAAATAATATATATGATCATCGTCCAACATCTAGTTGTCTTCATAAGATATTCATTCATAATCTATATGCCATGGTTTTAAACATTTGAATTCGTTAATTTAGAAGTAAATAAATAGTATATTCACGACGAAAACAAGCGAAATGATGATGAAATACAAAATTGGACATCAGTTGCACACTTTTTTAGCCAACTCAAATAGTAATAAACTGCAATAACGGATTTACACTGATCCTCTTAACTGTTTTTTAAGATACGACATTTTGTAATAACCTCACTTATAATCCCCTCCAAAATAGCTTCACCAATCTCCATGGCTATCTCCTCTTTTTGCAGCTCAAAAAGTGAAGTCCATTCTTCTTCAGAGTCCAAAAAATCATAGTTGAGCAGAACAAGTGTATTGGTCTCATGTATTGAGTTTTTGCTCCACAGCCAAACATTTTCACACACGAGCTGCCAAAGCTCCTCTGTTCCCAGTATTCTTTTAAGCTGCTGCTCATTTTGATGTCTTCCCTTTTTCTCGAAAATTTTCCGATGATTTTCAATGACCTCTCTCAGGCAATCGATCAGAAGCCGCTTTGTTTCGTGCAGAGCCCGTTTGTTTATTATGTACTGTTCGTAAGAGTTTGGGCCCACAACTGAGTACATTGGCCGCTTTGGTTTGCTTTTTGAAGCCGAAGATTCATCTTCACATCTCGTTTTTGTATTAAAGTCGTAATTTGCTACGAAAAAGATTAAGAAAGTTGCGAGTTTTAGTTACTTCTTATGGAAATGTTTTTTCTTGTTTATGTTTAATTACTCAAACAGAGTTTTGTCACGTTCTTGAAAAGGAAAAAATAAAAATAAAAAACGAAAAATGTACTAACCTTTGTCGTCCGACTCTGTTTCCGATTCGTGTTTCGTATTTCCATTCGCATACGCCTGTCAGATTCATTAACGTTAAAATGCGCAAATTCATGAATTTAAAAAAAAAATATGAAAAAAGAAAAGCGTCGTCACTAAAGAATCGGATAAACCGATTAAAAAGAACAATAGTTTTTCTAACATACCGTTTTTGCTTCAAGAAAAAGACTGTGACTTGCCGAACGAAATTTGTTTTGCTTCGTGCCCAGCTTGTCTTCTTGTCCGTTTCTATTCCCCGGGAAATAACTTTTTATTTTCGCTTTGTGAAAACGGTTTTGGAGGATGAGCCTGCCAAACGCGGCCTTAGCAAATTCTACGCAGTTTGGGACGGAATCCCACTTCTTGAAGGATCGAGCACGATGATTTCGAAAGCCTCTCTCGAAAAGGTAAATGTCTAAGGCAAATGGCTCTTGTTGCTCTTGAAGAAATTCTCCTAGTAACTTTGGCATGATTTGTTTTAGGAAGGCTTTCCTTTGTGTAATATGAAAGCTAAGGTAAGATGTGCAGCTAAAATGAATGCTGGGCTTAAAAGTTTATAAATAAGAAGAAGATGATGATGATGATGATGATAAGGTGGTGTTTGGTGCAGGGTATAATCAATGAAGAAAGATAATGATAATTGGATTTGTGTTGTAAAGCCTGAGACTGAAATTAAATAAGTAGCTGCAGATTGGAGAGTGTTAAGCCCAGAGAAATAAATTTTGTGAGGTATGGGCACAACAGGTGACAGTATAATTGTGAGGGTGAGAGATATGGGCACAACAGGTGAGTCTTTTTGGCATTTTTCAATCTCAAATAACTACCATGGGATGAGACACAAAAAATGGTAAGATAACTTCCCACTTGAAGTTTCTTCTCTCTCTTTGTTAGGTAAAGGTCTATTTAAGGATGTATGTATTAGGGGTGGTTAATCATGTTCTATTTGTATTTTACTATCATGCATGTTTTTGTATTATTTATTTTAACTTGACCATAAATACGATAATAAGTCCAAATTTAACTTAATGTACTTATTGGTTATGTGTTTTTTATATTGTGTTTCTGGTGATGTCGTTGTTGGTATATTTAAACCAAATAGAAATTAATTCAATCCCAAAACCATCCGTGTCAAATAAGTAAGAATTAACAAATAAAAATGGAACCGTACCAGACTTCATGAATTGAAAATTCTTCGATTCTTTAGTTTGCTGCAGTGGTGTGTTGTCCTAAACGATCTTGTTGGATGCATATGGTCTTCCAAACTATCAAAACCTTATAGCAGATATTTATTTGTAATATATTTTTCGTATATTGTTTTATGTACTAAAGTCAAGTGGAGCTTTTAAAGTGACAAAACATTCCTCGTATCTTTTCGTCGTGCAGAGTCACAACCAAATAAATAACATTTATTGATTTCTAGTTTGGTCTCTCAACAAATAGAAAATCGCATAATGGTATCTATACTTTTAAATCCATCACAATTTCAAAATCTCTTTATTTAAAATTATAAATTTAGAAGATCACTTTGATTAAATTATATGATGATAACTATACACATTTAATTACATATATTGACCAAATAAATTTTTTACCATTTTGCCACTGTAATCATGTGTTTTTTTAACCGTGTCATGTTTATATTTCGTGTCCTCATCCATTTGCTTGCTTCGAAAAATCTATATTTGCTAGAGACGGACTTAAGACTTTACCCGAAGTGGCCTTCGGATCAAAAGGTCATTGGTTCAACCGTTGGCTCATTAAGTCAATTCTACCAAATTATCGGGCAAAAAGTCACCTCCATAAGAAAATACCAGAATAAAAGGGAAACAATGTCTTGGGACAAAATGCATTAAAATATGCTTTCAAAAAAAATTAAATGGAAGTTGTGCAGCAACTTCAATTTCTTGGAACAATATATAAGAAACTTCAATTTGTTGGATCAATATATAAGAAGGATTCAACAAAACAGTGAGTGCAAATAAATAAACTCAATATATATAAGTTCGGTTTCTCTTTCTCTCTCTCTACAGCGACACGAGCAGTCCTTTAGTTGTAAGTGCAGTGGTCCCAAAGAAAGTTGCATTTGTTTTTTTTTTTATTGTATGCATACATTAATTACTCTTATCAAACAGAACATGGCTGCTAGAAACAAAATCAAATTCAAACTCCAGATCCCATATGAGCTATGTTTTTATTGTTTTCAAGATTTGATCATTAGTAAAAATTAAATAACATAAATATAAATTATTTAAATATATATGAATCACTATATTGATTAAAAGAAAAATTATGATTATACTTAATAGGGTGTATTAATGTGAAAAGTAAAACAAATATTAATGGAGGGAAACTAAAATGTTTTTAATTGTTTTGCTAGCAATTATATATATCATAAGAACGGTAAGAATATTGGGATGGATATGATATTCAGTTCCCAAATTAATTAGTTAATATAAACTAAAAGCTTGTAACTTTCAAGTTTACATGATTTTATTCAAAAGATAAAATTTGTAACAACATTCTCTGACGTAAATAAAATAAATTAGACAGAGGCAATATATTGTGCATGGGCATGATATAACAGCACAAAGCCATGCTGTGGTGTGGTCCTAAATCAAATCAAATTTGAGTCATGTCATACGTACACTTTGAACTATTTTACCAGAATTACATAAAATCCATATATATATATATATATATATATATATATATATATATATATCTTCAGGCTGTAGTCCCATTTTTTCAGAAATTGTAAAAAATAACACATGAAAGTTACTACACAAACAAACGAGAAGAAAAACACAACGGTGAGCAGACAGTCTGCACAGTATATGTTAGGCTTCAAAACAATCCATTGTATAATTTCTAGTTTCCATTGGTTTTTCGCTTTTGTTAATTTGGTTTTCTCGGTCACATTCGTTACATTAAAACACAAGCCATAGCATGATTAATTGTTAAGCGGTTATAAAATGCTTTAGGGAAAATATATTCGTATATTTAACTTGGAGAAATTACGTACAATGAATTTGGGAGGAGCGTGTACCGAAATAACTTCACTATAGGGTATTATTGGTTTAACCGAAGGGAGGATAAAAAAAATGATAAATCTTGTTTGGTTAAAAATTTGAAAAGATTGAAAAATAATGTAAAAATGACATGTATACTCTTAATGATATTAAAAAAAAAAAAAGAAATTGCATAAAATAATGACATAAAAGTAATTTCAATTATAAAAATTTGTCATTCTCTCCAAATCCCCAACTTTTCGAGAGAAAAATAAATGGACGAGGGGAGGGATTTCTACTTAAACTTTTTTCTCCCCTTCCTAATTCCCCTCAAAAGAAAAAGTAAATAAATAAATAAATAATTTTCTCCTTTTCCCCATCCAAACAACCCCTTAATGCCTTTGATAGGGTTTATTCGGGAAAATTTTAAAACTAGTGCCACATATATAGGGGGTGACATTTTTTGTTCGAACAGAATAGTGAAAATCAAGGTAGTCCATAGCTTTCAAAATTAATCAAAAGTAGGACTTTTGATGTGATTTTCGGCTCGAAAAGTCACGTCACGCAAATATGGCATTTTTCACGCATTGTCAACGGTCATCACACGTGACTTGGCACTATACCTGTGAGAATTATTTTTTTATAATTATTTTATTTATTTTTTAACTAAATAATTATAAAATTACAAAAAAGTTACTATATAAATAATTATTAAATTAAAAAAATTATGTCATGAATAAAAAATGTTAACTATAAAAATGTCATGAATAAAACTATTTTGTAATTTATAAAAATTTAAAATTATAACTAACATTTTTTAGTGGATCAAAATAATTAAGACAAATTTACTTGAATAAAACAAATTTAGTGAATAGTGGTTCTAAATAATTAAAAACAAAACTTGGATATTGTCCTATTTATTGAGGAGTAGCCGAAAGTCAAGTTCTTGGGTGCAAGCAAACGAGACAATTGAAGGAAATATTGTCTTCTCCATAAGTAAGAAAAGTGAATGTAGATCTCATTAACAAGAGGTTTTAAGAAACTAGATAACTAAATCATGGGGAAGATTACCGCCTATATAAGCAATGCTACAAAAAGATATGATTGTTGAAGAGACGTTTATTTATATATTAAAAAAAAAAAAAGTATTGATTTTGAAAATTTGTTTTACGTACCATATTTAAAAAAATATAGATTTCAATTTTTAAATTTTATTGATTTATATGTTTTGTTTTTATGGTAAAATTGTTATTTGGAAAAACAAAATGTTCAATTTGTTTTTATATGTTGCTAAGCAATTTTCTCTCTTAGTTTTTTGTTCCCACGATACAACAAATGAAAATTTATAAAACATATTTTGTAATTTAAATAAGAGAGAAGAAGCTTCTAGTATGAACTCGGGTGAGTGGCTGAGTTCCAGTACACCTGAAATGTAAAAACAATGGAAATTCTAATAAAAATCAAATTTTGTTTGTGTTCCTAAAAATGTTGCTCCNACAAAACAATGGTCAACAACTGATATTTTTACGAGTAAACAACATATCTGCAAAATTAAGTAAAATTGTGATATTTTCACATATTTCCCAAGAAAAATACATCTCACCTTTTAGATGGGAAAAATGAAGTTTCACCCTCACTATCTACAAACTATCCAAATCAAGACAATATCTCAAAATCTCAATCTATACTATTCCGGTATTCCCTGTTCTTCTGTATAGAAAGCCCTCAAGTGCTGCTCAAAACCAGCAATAGCATTTACATAGAAGTATTGGGAAAAAATAAACAGAAAGGTAAATTAAGAAAAAAGAAAAATACCCAACAATGATCAACATAAATGCTTGGGACTAAAGGCTATGTTGTTGTTGTTGTTGTTGTTGTAAAGATCAACATAAATAAGAAGATGTCCAAGAACAGTAATACAATATTCTAATGCAAATGTAAAGTGTACAACAAACAAAGCTAATCATGTCCTAGAACACCACAAGACATTAAAGAATCCAGCTGCTTATATTTGTCCCAAAGAGGACCAAGAATTCATAGAGAACCTTTAACAGAAAACATTGCTCAACAATCGAAACATCAAGACACAGTCACGCAGCCAACAGTTCACGAGTATTTCCTATGATATGCAAAAACAACGCGAGGCACACCGTAAGAATAACGGACGATTTGTACCCCACATATTTGACAACCTCAAATCCCCTCTCGACAACCTCATCGTGAACCACATTCACGCTACTCTTCAAACCTTCCGACATTTTCCACAGGAAAAACTCAACAACCGACCTAACTGTCGCGAAAGTGACTCTCCCAGTCACATCCAGCACAAGCTTCCGATTTCTCGGCACAGCCAATGTTGACGAGACACTGTTGACCCAACCACTGTTCATATCTTTCGTCAAATGGGTTTTATTGTTCCGCGATTTCAAAATCTCGCCCTCGTGAATCTTTGAGTAGCCGTCGTTCGATTTCGATGATGTCAGCACCTGGTGTGAGGTCTTCACGAGAGTCTCGACGGCCCCATTACACATGGAGACCAAAATCTCGGTAACTTTATTCTGATGCTTGGGATTGGTCAGACTCGAAAAAATCTCGTCGTAAAAATTGACAGTCATGGTTTTGTCGAGATAGATTGCAACTGCAGTGCTGGCAAATGTCTTTAAGCAATCGGCTATCAAGACTCTGCATTTATCATCCGACACCACACTACTCACTAACCCGATAAATGCTGGGGAGCTCGAGTTTTTCTCGTGGGGCCCACTTGAGTCTCCATCTCCACTATGAAAGCCCAAAACCAAATTCCTAGCAAAACTACCGACAATGATCGAGACAAAACCCATGCCTTCACTAGACATCAGTTTATCCATAATCTGATTGACAAAATTTGAACCTCCGGCTTCTTGAATCTCAGCTTTGCTACTCTTCATATTATAACCCCTCAAAATCCCAACCGTAATAGACTGACAAACAGGAGCCACCGATTCGGAAAACTCCTCAGACCGTGAGATTTTCGAGAGTTGCCTCAAACTATTGGGGATTTCGTCCGAATCCGACTTCAGAAAACCCTTCAGATCCTTTGACACTATCGAGATTGTCTCGGATGAATCAGAAACCATTTCAGCCACGGAAAGTAAGGATCCGAACAGCTTCAACATTCTATTCCTCTTTCTAGCTACAGAGGGCATGTGATATACTTTGTACACAGCGTATGTGGAAAATCCAAACAGTCCCAGGAAAAGTATCCATCTCCTCTTCCTCTTGGTAAAACTCAAGCCCCTTTGCACCAACTCACGACCCATACAGCTCAAATCAACCAAAAATCAAGAAATCATCCTCTAAATTTCAACCAAAAGGGGACCCAAGAGCTAAAAAATCACTATGCCCCAGGGCCCGAGCGGCCAGAAGAGCAAAGGATATTTAAGGGCTTTACCAAGAATCGGAAGATAAAAAATTTAGGATAAAAATTTGCAAATACCAAGAACCCCACCTCGGGGTTCGCTAAATCTGATTGATGCAATAATTACTTGGAAACACAATTGCAACTTGACAAATAATTTACTCTATCGAACTATATATTTGGTGGGAGAAAAAAAAAAAGGGCTTTTGATGAAACGCACCTGCGACGAGCAGTAGTTGCCCAGACAGAGAGGGGAGAGAGAGAGATTAAGAGTGGAAACGAGGAGAATGAAGAAGGGATTCATTCGTTCGTTTGCATGTTCAGAGTTGTGGCGCTTAAAAAATACTAACAAAAGGAAAAAAAAAATGGAAATTTGGTCTGGCGATTGAAGTTCATAGCACTACGATGGTCAAATTAAGGACAAACCCAAGTAAAAAAAACTCAAAAAATTATAGTATAAAAATAAAATACTAGGTCTAGACTAAAACCTCAAATCTATTTAGTGCAAAAATAAAATATTAGGTCTAAATTATCTTCCAATCAATAAAAATGCTCTAATATATTAACTATATTAAATGAAAAAATAAATTAGGAATAAATGATGCATGTTCATGTTTGTACTTGGTCAAAATAGACTCATAGTGGACTTGGTCTTTTTTTTTTATTGTCACATAAAATAAAGCATGTTCACTTGAGACATTTTTTTATAGACTATGGCATATGATATTTTTTTAAGAGACCTAATACATTGTGGGTGCTCTCAGAGAGTAGCGGATATTCTATCGTCTTTCTTTGAGAGAGGGGCAACTGTTGACACTTGACATGATAAATCGTCATTGGTCGGCCGGTAAGATTCTACATCACTGACTTTTATTTCCTCGTTGTATCCAACACTACTACGGTTATATAATAGTTTAATACATGAAATAATTTCGTACATGACTGTAGTCATTCCTTTATTCCCCATAATTAGTCCGCATCTCGTGCGATACACGAACGGGCTTGTTATTTAGAGCATCTCCAATGTGACGTTTTGACATTATAAAAATTTATCCATGTCATCAACTTTTGAAATTGTGTTACTAATTATTCACCAATGCATCTTGTTATGAACTCTTTCATGATGAGGTGAACGACATTTAATGTTGACAATATTGAGTTCACTTTCTAATATCTGACACCATGTTAAACATGATGACTCGTCAATTCATTTTATATTTGATTTAATTTTTTATTGTCCTTGTATCAATAAATTATTTTAATTGGTCCACCTATATAAACTTTTTATCAAATTGATGTATTGCAGATACAAGTTTGATTCAAATTTTTAGTCTTTTAACATTATTTCTATGTGGATTAACATTACAATCATTAATTGACATGTGTTAAAAATCATTGTTTTTCAAAGTCATAGCATTGGAGATGCTCTTAAAATCCTTTTTAAAACTTTATTTTAAACATAACTATTTAATCTTAACATCTCATTAGTTGCACAAATTTAGTTTTAACTAAAATTTGTAGTTTTTCAAAATAAAATCTTTAATATAATGAAATATTGATGAATGTTGGTTTTTCTAAAGTATATAAAAATTAAAATATAATTGAAATTTAGAGTTACTTCTAAAGTTGATTTCAAACAAAAATATTCAATATGATGAAGTATTAATGAATGTTGTTTTTTTTTTAAAATATATAAAATTAAAATATAATTAGGTAGCCATTCAATTTTTTTTTTTAAATAAATAAAAAATTTCCGAAAACCCAAACCAAACTATATCGAACCGAACTGTTCCGATAGTCTCGAATACCGAACCGAAGCGAATCGAAAAATAAAAATTTCCAAACCGAACTGTTTCGATTTTTGATACGATTTCAGAAATCGAATTTAGTGATCTCATAATTTTGGTAGGGTTCCGAAGATTTATCAAATCTTCGAACCGTATCACCATGCTCCCCCCTAGATGAAGTGCCACTGATATGGGTGGCATTAACAAAACCGGCTTATCCACACGAATTCACCTAGAACTTGAAGAACCCTACATCCTTCCACCATCGTTGATTCTCGAGTCTGAAGCCTGCGATTCACTTCTTGCTACTGGGAACGACGCATCATTTGCTCAGGCGAGTAGTTTCCCCTTTTCAATTGATTGATTCCGTTCAGTTAATTTGAGATGGCGCTACACACACTTGTGGGCATAAATCTCACCCGTTTGTTACCGGAGAATTTGTTATCTCCGGTGGTTTTCAAAACTCGATGTTCCCCCGCCGTCTCCGATTTCTCCACCGCCTGTGAAGCCGAACCCTTTACTTCTTCGGTTTACTATTTGTTGGCTCACAAGCACCGTTTGTCTCATGATGTGGCTTCACGCGCCGCCTCAGTTTTGAAACCTTTGGGCCCCCAGGAAAAATACGGTTCAGTACTCGCCTTTTTCGTGCAGATGGGATTCACGAAAGCCCAGCTGGAGAAAATCTTGAATGTCCGGCCCCTACTGCTCGCTGCCGATCTTGAGGGAACCATCAAGCCCAAAATCAAGATATTCCAGGACCTAGGCTTCTCCTCGGAAGAAATTGCCGACATAATCTCGAAGGAGCCAATGATTCTGCACACCAGCCTGTATAAAAGAATCATCCCTGCATTGGCCTGGTTAAAGGGCATGTTGGGTTCGAATGAGAAGGTGGCCGGGGTTCTGAGAAAAGCTGGTCGGCTGCTGACGACCGATCTTGAAACACACACTTTGCCCAACGTCCGACTCCTGATGATCCATGGGATGACAAAAGACGATGTCGCCAAGCTCATCTATTATTACCCGCGGGTCATACTGTACAATCGAGAAACTCTTAGCAGATGCTTGGACACCAAAGACAAAATGGGCATTTCCTGGAGTTCAAAAATGTCTGTTTATGCTGTCTGGGTCATTTGCTCGATGCCCAACGGGAGTTGGGAACGCAAACTGCTGGCTTTTCAGGAAATTCTGGAATTCTCTAACGACGAAATGATTAGGATTTTGAGGCAGATCCCCGTGATTTTCTGCGTTTCGGAAGATAAGATGAGAAAGGTGAAACAGATTGTGCTCGGGACTGGGAAATATGATACATCATCGATTGCTGAATACCCGAGGGTGCTCATGTTCAGCATCGAGAGGCGGCTGAAGCCGAGGTTTGAGGTTCTGAGGAAGCTGAAGAGTAAGGGCCTGATCGAGGAGTGGCCTTCTCTCAGTGATGTTTGCAGATTGGCAGACGAGAAGTTCTGTGTGGAATATGTGGAACCATATATGAGTGAAATTGGTGAGGATTATTACCTGTGGAAGAGAGCACTCGGTTGCAAAAGAGAGAACAAACTCGCTTAAGCAGGTTAACGACGTGGATATTTTTCTCAGGGATGTTTCTTTGTGGGGTGGAGAGGTAAGTGGTGTTAAATAGAAACTTGACTTTCCATTCTTGTATCTCATGTATGTTGTCTTTAAAACTTTACTTAATGTTTGTTTTTTTCATGTCCATTGGAATTTGAATTACTAATGCCATAGTTTGGAAACGCGGTTTTAGTTTAAGAGTGTCTATGATAAGCATAATACAACAACAACAACATACCCAGTATATTCCCTATTCCCAACAGGTTGGGGTCTGGGGGGTCAGTTGTACGCAGACCTTACCCTTGTAATTATACACAGACCTTACCCTTTGTAATTATACAAGGAGGCTGTTTCCGTAGCGACCCAAGGTGCATTGCGCCGTTTGATATATTTTTTCTAGAAACTTCACTAATAGAAGAAGCACTAGAATTTAATTGAGTCATTTTGATCTAGTCCATTATTAGCACTATGCCAGGAGAATTGTCAACAATGACTCTTCCAGCTCCATTTGCAATGGACAAAAAACCTCAACTAAATAATACTTGTTAAATTGGACATCTAATGCCCAACGTCACCAAGTAACAAAGTCACCACATGCCTGATCAAAGTAAAATAGATATGATAAGCATAATAAACCTATTTAATTAGCTTATAAGATTTTTGTATTCAAACTAGCCTCTTTTGGCAGGATAAGATTTTTTTGAAACTCAATTTTACCTCATGATGTTTCATGCATGAGGTACTCTTCAAAAAGAGCTCATTGGGGATTTTGTTTTGGCTGACTTTTAAGCTAATTTATCAAATATTTTTAGTACGATTGTGCTTTGTAAGCACCATTAGTTGACTTATAGCTTGTTTAGTTACCAAACATCCTTTAGTTTGTTTATTTTACATAGAGAGGTGCTTAAGCATAAAGCCATAGGAATAAGTTAGCAACCATCATCAGCCCATTTTTATTTGTTATATGTGCTGCTTTTAGTGTATCAACGTTATGTACAAAGATATTGATATGAGACCATGTGGCAGGAGTTTGCATTTCTAATATAAGACCATACAAAAAATAATTTTATTTAAACTATCCTTGTATATATCAACTAATATTGGGATATTTCTTGGGTAATTTATGATGTTGATATGTAACATTTGTGAAATACTTGTTATAGTATATTGTAAGCCTGAGCAGAACTGATTTTTTTTTACCAACATGAACAGTGAAAAGTGTTTGACTAATTGATGGTTAAGTTGTCGGGATAATGAGGGTGCCGACATGATCAAGATGTCTACTGATAATTGATTACATCAGGTGGCCGGATAAAGAGGTGCTGTGAGCATTTTGGCTTGGTTAAAGTTGAATGTATGTATCAATAATGTACTTTGGGTTTGTGCCAGTCTTGGCTTGGGTTTTGTATGTGGAATAAAAGGATGTGAGCTTTGAAGTGTTAACGGGGAATAAATGAATGAATGTTCATTTATCGAGTGTTGTATGTGAATATTGGTTCTAACCAAAACTTGTTTGTAGTTATAAATATCTACTATAAATATTGTTCAAGTTATGTTTGGATGTGCATTCTTAGTTGGACCATCAGGCGTTTTGAGCTCTTTTGGGGAAGGTTCATATGATTGCTTTGGTTCGATTGAATTAGCCTAAGGTGGTTGTTTTGCCTATCCCATTGAAAAACCCTTTGATTTTTGTGGATTCATGCACATTCTGGAGCTGGTGGAGGTGATGCAAATAAAGATTTTCTATGTCTTGACTTGAGCGGTGACTCATATATTTAGCCTATAGGCCCTATACACTTTGGATATGCTTGGAGAGTTTGGGTGAATCTTCTGAGAAGTGTTGATTGTCATATGCATTCTATATTGTTCGATTGTTGAGGATATATGCCATTTATGTCACTACATGAGGATTCCACCAATCTTGTGTTTTTATTTGTGTCTGAAAACTGATTTTGAATTGGCACACCAAAAAAAGAGTGATTACAAGATGAGATGATAAATGTGGGTTGATGCATAAGAGCAATCATCATTTAAGTGTGCGGTTATTTGATTAGTCGAAAAACTTGCATGCATTAGTTGTCAAATGTTGCAATTTTGCATGTTTGATTTCTTGTACTTATGCATTTTTTGACTTCTTTGATACTATGAGCGATTCCCATGCTTTGATGCGAAAATCAATGTTTTTCAGCGTATTTAAGAGTTTTTCTCGGTTATGATGACATGTGGACGCATAGACGTGGGCTCGACAAACTTTCATCTGGTGCAGTATGGGGGTTGCCTTATACTAGCCCAACAAAGTCGATGCACACAATATTGGCCCATGGAAATAATAAATAATTTGGCCAAGATATTTTATGTTTGAGCAGCGGGCTTGTAGGAAGATTAGTGTCAAACAGCCAATTTTGCCTTTTTGAGGGGATATAAAAAGAGTTGGATGTTCAAAACAGAGGAGACTTGGACTTGCAGACTCCAGAAGGACTATATAAGCAAGCAACAGACGTGCCGACTTGGAGATTAGAGAAGCACAATTTTATTTTTTTATTTTATTTTATTTTATTTTATTTTTTTCGCGTGTAATTAATTTCATGATCATGTTTATGAACGCTATGCGTGGCTAGTACTTTAATTCTAGTTCCAAGGAAGTTGTACCCTATAACTTGACGATGTTTGATTAATTTTATTGGTTGATAATTTTATTATTTTTAGGGAGTTATGCGTGTTATTTTGATTGATGAATTAAGATTTGTTTAGTCTTATTTAGATTTTCGCCTAGATAGGGTTTTTTTCATATCTATAGCGAGAGTTTTTAATCCGTCATTATTGATGTGTTTGATTCGTTAGTAGTGAACGATAGTCGAAAACTGTTTAAAATTACAAGGCATAATTAAGTAAACCGAGCGTGTGAGTTTACTATTTAGATTAGCCTATTTTCCTAGAAAAAATGCGACAAGTATATAATAAATGAACATAGATGTCTACATACCACTCGCATGGAGTGGGGTCCACTTAATTTTTTATTTTTTGGTCGGTCCCACTCAATGTGAGTGTTATGTGCACCCCTATGTACAATATTATGTGCCTATAACATTTCTCTTTTCCTAGATCATAAAGCTACTGCTAAGGGAGCGTGTTCTAGATTGTCCGGTAGTTAGGTTAATTGAAGAGTGGTTTCGGCTTAATATATTGTAAGGAAAAATTTTGGTAGTAGAGCGTGTTGCTATCTAGGGCTAGTAATTCCATAAGATAACGTAGTTTGATATTAGAATTAATTAGATGAGTCGGTCGAGGGTGTAGACCGAACTCTGAACTAGAAGCTTCCTTATTTAAATAATTAATCATTTTGATTTACTGCACTCAATTTTACTTCATTTTTCGTAGTTTTTAGTAGTTAATTAATTCGTATCTCAAACTTCCTTGTTTATTTTCGTAATCTTAATTAAAGAAAAATAATTGAAATTTAATTACACTCTGTGGTTCGACTTTTACTTGCCAATACTATTGATTCGTAGAGGTTATAGAAGGAAAAATATAAATTTTAATTTTTCGCATTGCGACGCGCAGTCACCTAGCAGCTGATTGGATCAACATTCCTTTGTCCTATGTCACCTAGCCGCATGACTACTTGGTTCGTCGATTGTACGTCTTCATTCATGGAGCACAGGCTCTGCTCCAGCTATCGATCTGCTCTCGGTTTGACATAATGATATACGTTGGATTCTCTCAATGAAAACACTAATAATGATGAAGATCGTGTATCGACATTAGGAATAGTGATAACTCGCATTAACGACCGTCGGTTAAATAGCGAAAGAATTTTTCTTAACTCTTAAGTTATGTCAGTCGACCAATACAACTTATGAAGAAAGAAAAAACTGAAACTTGCAAATAGGTCCTAATAAATAATAAACTAAGAGAATCACCCTCTTAAATAAACAAAACAAGAATACCTCCTTGTCTGAACTCAATCGCACAAACCCGTCACTGCCGTGGCCCGTTCTCCCGAGCCGTGTTCCCCGTGCTTGTTGTTGCCACTGTGCCTTGATACGAGTTGGTTGTATGCATTTTTAAGACGTCAGCCCTCGTCCGCATTAGACTGTATGTGTTTGTTTTGTTTTTAGTTTTTTTATTCAATTATTAAAGGTAGAATTCTCCACTTTAATAAATAATAAACTAAGAGAATCACCCTCTTAAATAAACAAAACACGAATAACTCCTTGTCTCAACTCAATCGCCCAAACCCGTCATTGTCGTGGCTCGTTCTCCCGAGCCGTGTTCCCCGTGCTTGTTGCTGCCACTGTGCCTTGATACGAGTTGGCTATATGCATTCTTAAGACGTCGGCCCTCGTCCGCATCAGGCTGTAAGTGTTTGTGTTGGTTTTAGTTTTTTATTCTCTATTATTGAAGGTATAATTCTCCACTTGGTGAATTTTGTGGACTTTGTAAAAACTTTCATAACTTTGGTGGACTTGTTGAGACTTTAAAAGAATTCTCATTAGTGACTTTTTAAGACTTTCATAATAGACTTTTTAAAACTTATTGAGACTTTTATATATTTGTAGTTATAATATTATGTTTGAATGGAACATTAATAAACTTAACATAATAACTAATATCAAGAAGAATAAATGAAAAATAATGTTATATATATTAATCCTCTAAAAATTTATGAATCAACTCATTGTTATGCGAAATAAGTTATTCATTAACAAATTTTTTAGGATTTTAGATTAATTAAACGAGCAAACCAATCCGAGCTTCAACGATAACTATGGAAGATACAAACATTATCGAAAAACAGTAATTGTATTTTATAAAGTTATCAATAATATTCAAAATAATTCAATATCAACAAATAAACTATTAGAAAATAAAATAATTTTATTAACATTAAAATATAAACATTAAGAAATAAAAAGAGAGAACAAATAAAATATTTGCAAGTGTAAAATATGGAAGCATTTAACCTTTGAAAAATCAAATTCACAAGATAACAAAATGAAAGAATAAAGGTATACATTCATAAAATAACCATAATAAAAAATATATAAAATAAAAAGATCTAGTTAAGTATACGTAATGAAAATAAAAACTATACAAGGTATCAAAATAAATGAGTAAAATAATAGAGCATGAAAGTGATATGAGATACAAAGTCGTGTTAGAAATAAAAAAGAAAGGGAGCGTGAAGAGTGTTACATAAGTCGAGCAAAATCTCACAAATATTGATGAGATTTTTATTGTGACTTTCTCTTTGTAATTTTGTTGGAAAAGTCTCTCAAAGTCTCACAATTTAAAAAGTCTCATAAACTCTTCATATTTTAAATATAGAGTGACTTATAGAGACTCTCATAAAGTTTTAATTGAATACTTTGAGACTTTTAAAGATTTTTTAAAAATCTCAGTTGACATGTAAATTTTTCAGAAGTCTCTAAAATTCTGATTGAATACACCAAAATTACGAAAGTATTAAAAAATGTCTATAAGTTGAAATTGAAGACAGCATCTTTTTTATTAGTCTTGTGAGTGTGTTTAGTGCAGTTCATTACCTCTAGGTTATCGACGTGAATACACCCCATCGTTGATTCTCGAGTCTGAAGACTGCGATTAACTTCTTGCTTTTGGGAAGGACGCATCATTTGCTCAGGCGAGTAATTTCCCTTTTCAATCGATTGATTCCGTTCAGTTAATTTGAGATGGCGCTGCACACACTTGTGGGCATAAATCTCACCCGTTTGTTACCTAAGAGTTTGTTCTCTCCGGCGATTTTCAAAACTCGATATTCCCTCGCCGTCTCCGCTTTCTCCACCGCCTGTGAGACCAAACGCTCTACTTCTCCGGTTTACTATTTGTTGGCGCACAAGCACCGTTTGTCTCATGCTGTGGCTTCACGCGTCGCCTCCGTTTTAGATCCTTTCGGCTGCCAGAAAAAATACGGTTCGGTACTCACTTTCTTCGTGCAGATGAGCTTCACGAAAGCCCAGCTGGAGAAAATCTCGAATGTCCGGCCCCACCTACTCGCCGCCGATCTTAAGGGTACCATCAAGCCCAAGATCGAGATATTCGAGGACCTAGGCTTCTCCTCGGAAGAAATTGCCGCCATAGTGTCAAAACAGCCACTGATTCTGCACACCAGCCTGTATAAAAGAATCATCCCCGCATTGGCCTGGTTAAAGGGCATGTTGGGTTCGAATGAGAAAGTGGCCAGGGTTCTGAGAGATAATGGTCGGCTGCTGACGACCGATCTTGAAAAACACGTTTTGCCCAACTTCCGGATCTTGATGAGCCATGGGATGACAGAAGACGAGGTCGCCAGGCTCATCTATGTTTACCCGCGGGTCATACTGTGCAATCGAGAAACTCTTAGGAGATGCTTGGACACCAAAGACAAAATGGGCATTTCCTGGAGTTCAAAAATGTCCGTTTATGCTGTCGGGGTCATTTGCTCGATGCCCAACGGGAGTTGGGAACGCAAGCTGCTGGCTTTTCAGGAAATTTTTGAATTCTCGAACGACGAAATGATTAGGATTTTGAGGCAGACCCCCACGATTTTCCGCGTTTCGGAAGATAAGATGAGAAAGGTGAAACAGATAGTGCTCGGGACTAGGAAATATGATACATCATCGATTGCTGCATATCCGAGGGCACTCATGTGCAGCATCGAGAGGCGGCTGAAGCCGAGGTTTGAGGTTCTGGGGAAGCTGGAGAGTAAGGGCCTGATCGAGGAGTGGCTTTCTCTCGGATATGTTTGCCGATTGACAGATGAGAAGTTTTGTGAGGTATATGTGGAACCATATATGAGTGAAATTGGTGAGGACTTTTACCTGTGGAAGAGAGCACTCGGTTGCAAAAGAGAAACACAACTCACTTAAGCAGGTTAACGGCGTGGATATTTTTCTCAGGCATGTTTCTTTGTGGGGTGGAGAGGTAACTGGTGTTAAATAGAAACTTGACTTTCCATTTACTTTTCTGCTTGAATCTCATGTATTTCGTGTGTAAGATTTTGCTAATGTTTGTTTTTTCATGTTCATTGGAATTTGGACTACTGATGCCATAGTTTGGAAACACGGTTTTAGTTAAGAGTGTCTATGATAAGCATAATAAACTTATTTAATTAGCTTATAAGACTTTTGTTTTCAAACTAGCCTCTTTTGGCAGGATAAGATTTTTTTGAAAAACTCAGTTTTATCTCAGGTGCTTCATGTGGTACTGTTCAAAAAGAGCTCATTGGGGATTTTGTTTTTAGCTGGCTTTTAAGCTAATTTGTCAAATATTTTTAGTATGATTGTGCTTGGTAAGCACCATTAGTTGACCTATAGTTTGTTTAGTTAGCCAAACTTCCTTTAGTTTGTTTATTTTACATAGAGAGATGATTAATTATAAAAGCCATAGGAATAAGTTAGCAACCATCATCAGCTCCGTTTCATTTGTTATATAGGCTGCTTTTAGTCGTATCAATATTATGTACAAAGATATAGATATTTTGAATATTCTAATTAAAGAAACAAAGTTATCTTTGTTGGACGAAGGGAAACAAATGAAATATATTGTTTGTGTATTAAGTGTGTTTTTGGCGTGCTTCCTTCCTCACCCTCGAAGTTAGTCATTAATACGGGTTATGTTTTCATACATGGTCGCCAAATTTATTACATTCTACATGTCTCGGAAAATAACATGAGACCATACGTCAGGAGTTTTTCATTACTACTTGACCATATAAAAAATAATTTTATCTAAACTATCCTTGTATATATCAACTAATTTTGGGAGATTTCTTGGGTTATTTATGATGTTGATATGTGACGTTTGTGAAATACCTGTTACAGTATAGTGTAAGCCTGAGCAGTACTGATTTTTTTACCTACATGAACTGTGAAAAGTATTTGACTAAATGATGGTTAATTGTTCGGGATAATGAGGGTGCCGGCATGATCAAGATGTCTAGTGATAATTGATTAAATCAGGTGGCCGGATAAAGAGGTGCTGTGAGCATTGGCGTGGTTAAAGTTGAATGTTTGTACCGATAATGTACTTTGGATTTGTGCGAGTGTTGGTTGGGGTTTGTATGTGGAATAAAAGGATGTGAGCTTTGAAGTGTTAACGAGGAATAAATGAATGAATGAAGTTCATTTATCGAGTGTTGTATGTAAATATTGGTTCTAATTAAAACTTGTTTGTAGTTATAAATATTTACTATAAATATTGTTCAAGTTATGTTTGGATATGCATTCTTAGTTGGACATCAAGGTGTTTATGCTTTGAGCTCTTTTCGGGAAGGTTCATTTGATTGCTTTGGTTTGATTGAATTAGCCTAAGATTGTTGTTTTGCTTATCCCATTGAAAAACCCTTTGATTTTTGTGGATTCATGCTCATTTCTAGAGCTGTTGGGCGTGGTGCAATTGCAAGCATATGGTAAAGATGGTAAAGATTTTCTATGTTTGAGCCTTGACTTATATATTTAGCCTTTACACTTTGGATTCTCTTTGGAGAGTTTGAGATGTGAAATGTTGAATCTCGTATACATTCTATAGTGTTTGATTGTTGAGGATATATGTCATTTATGTCAGTATATGAGGATTCCACCCATCTTGTGTTTTATTTGTGTATGAAAACCGTTTCGAATTGTCAGAGGGAAAAAAGAGAGGGATTACAAGATGAGATGACAAGTTTGGATTGATGCTTGAGAACAATCATCATTTAAGTGTTGGGTGATAGTCGAAAAATGTATGTGCATTAGTTGTCTAATATTGCAATTTTGCACGTTTAGTTTCTTGTACTTGTGCATTTTTCGACTTATTATGAGCGACTCCTGTGCTTTGATGCGAAATTCAGTATTTCAGCGTATTTGAGAATTTTCTCGGTCATGATGACGTGTGAACGCATGGACGTGGGCTCGACAAACTTTCATCTGGCACTATGGGGATGCCCTATACTAGCCCAACAAAGCCCATGCATACAATATTGGCCCATGGAAAAAAATAAATAATTTGGCCCAGATATTTTATGCTTGAGCAGCAGGCTTGATGATGTCCTGGGAATATTAAGGTCAAACAACCAATTAGTTTTTGCCTTTTTGAGGGGATATAAAAAGAGAGACATTCAAAACAAAGGAGACTTGGACTTGAAGACTTGGAGGACTTTGAAAGCAAGCAGCATATGTGCCGAACTTGGAGGCTAGAGAAGAACAATCTTTTCTTTCTTTTCTTTCCCGTGTAAATAATTTGATGATCATGTTTAAGAATGCTATGCGTGGCTAGTATTTTAATTCTAGTTCCAGGGAAGTCGAACCCTACGACTTGACGATTTTTTATTAGTTTTCTTGGTTGTTAATTTTATTATTTTTATGGAATTGTGCATGTTATTTTGGTTGTTATTTTGGTTGATGAATTAAGATTTGTTTTGTCTTATTTAGATTTGATCATCTAGATAGAGTTTTTCATATCTATAACTAGAGTTTAACTTTCAGTTCGTAATTGTTGATGTGTTTGATTCGTTAGTAGCGAACGATAGCAGGAAATTGTCGAAAATAACACGATCTAATTAAGTAAATTGAGCGTTTGAGTTTACTTCTTAGATTAGTCTATTTTCTTAGGCGTCGTTTACTTTGATAGATAGGACAGGATAACTAAAATTGTCCCTCAATATCTGACGTTTACATTATGAGATTGGGATAGGATTCAACTGATGTGGCGTACATGTGGCAGTGGGACCCACATGCATATCATTTATTGGCGGATTAACTCATCCCACCTCCCCCATCGGATTTTTTAATCCCAATCTGAATATGACGGTTTTGTCCTCAAAAGTGGCTATCAAAAGACAAAATTACCCCTCAACATCTATTTATTTACAATCTTATACCATATAAATTTGCATTTCACTGTTTCTCTCGTCCTAATCTTGCAATTCCGCGAGCAGAGGGATCTTGCTATCTTCATCGTCGATTATTTGGCCAAGAATTGTAAGCTCCCATGTCCCAGCCCAAGGCCCAACCAGTGGCTGCAGTTATCCAACAAATTGATTTTCCGGCACCGTCGACGACAGACAGAGAGATGGCTGCGACTGGAAGCTGTAGAACCACCACTTTCTTCCTCCTCTCCGCCCCAAAACCACCGCCTCCGCCGCACAAATTCTCCCCGTCACCAAAGCATTTTCACCTCTGTTCTCACAGTCAATTTCCTCTCTCCGCATCAGCCAACCCCAAATTTTTACTTGAAATGACTTTTGGAAAATTCTCTCTCGGCAGTGAAAATAAACAGAGGTGTCTTTGCAAGATTGGTAATGTTTATTTTGGAAATGTTTATTTCTTTGTTTTGGATGCTCTGATTTGAAAATGTTTAATCTTTAATTACTTGAAATGAGTTTTGGATGCTTTGCTTTTGATTATGAATCTTGGGTGTTGTGTTTCAGACTTTCTGTTGCTGAATGAGAGCAATATATTTTAATGGAGTGTTGCATTTTTTATGAATAGAAGGGCAATTTGGACATCAGGTCTTATTTTCTAATTTAGTCCAACAAAGTAGTTTTTAATCCCAAAATGTAAATACAAGACAAATTGATGACGTGTAAAATTGGCTGTATTATTTTGTCTAATCCTGTCCATGAAAGTAAATGAGGCCTTAGATTCTAAAGCTACTACTGCATTAAATCTAGTGAGCGTGTTTTAGACTGTCTTAACTGAAGAGCGTGTTTCGGTTAATTATATTGTAAAGAAATATTCATTAAATCTAGTGTGTGTGTGTTCTAGACTGTCTAATAGTTAGGTTTAATTGAAAAGCGTGTTTCAGTTATATATATTGTAAAGAAATATTCAAGTAGCAAAGCTTGTTGTAATCTAGGGCTAGTAATTCCATAAGATAAAGAAGTTTGATACTACAATTATTTAGATGAATCGGTTGAGGGTGTAGACGGAACTATGAGCTAGAAGCTTATTTATTTAATTAATCATTTTGTTGGACTACACTCATATTTTACTTCATTTTTCGTAGTTTTTAGTAGTCAATTAATACGTACCACAAACTTCCCCCGTTACTATTATTTTCTTAAAATCTCAACTAAAGAAAAATAATTGCAATTTAATTACACACTCTGTGGGGTCGATTATTATTCGCCACTACTATTGGTTCGTAGAAGTTAGACAAGAAAAAATATAAATTTTAATTTGCCGCATTGCGACGTGTGATCACTTGGCAGCTGATTGGATCAGTATTCGTTTGATCCACATTAGTACCTGGTTCGTCAATTGTGCGATTGGTGGAACTCACACACCTTTAGAGATTAATCCGCTCTCAATTTGATATAATGATACACGATCGATTCTCTTAATGAAAACACTAAGGATGAAGATCGTGAATCGACATTAGGAATTGTGATTAACTCGTGTTGACTTTTTCTTATCTCTTAAGTTATGCAGTTGATAAAATACTGAAACTTACAAATAATAAACTAACAGAATCATCCTCTTAAATAAAACAAATCGCGGATAGCTCCTAGTCCGAATTCAATCGCCCGAGCTTGTCACTGCCGTGGCCCATTCCCCGAAATCGTTGTGTTCTCAGTGCTTGTTGCTGCCAGTGTTCCTTGGCACGAGCTCGCTGATGTTGGTTGTAAGCGTTCATAAGACGTCGGCCCTCGTCCGCATTAGTGTTTGTGTTGGTTTTGATTTTTTTATTCAATATTATTGAAAATAGAATTCTCCACTTATGGGAGTTTAGTATCGTTTTTCTTAGCCTTGTGGGTGTGTTAGTGTAGTTAATTCTAAGCTACCGACGTGTCGTCATGTAGGCCTCTTATTAAATTTTTAGTTTTGTTGGTGTGTTAGTATAGTTGATTCTAAGCTACCGACGTATCGTCGTGTATGTCTATCTTTAAATTCGGCTTTTTAATTGTTTCAGGAACCTGTTACTAGTCATTTTGAGGATTGTAAATACCGTTTTTATTAGAAAAAAAAAAAAAAAAGAATTTATCTACAACTTGAAGAACCTCAATACCCTTCCACCATCGTTGGTTCTCGAGTCTGAACTCTGAAGCCTGCGATTCCCTTGTTGCTTTTGGGAACGGCGGCTAGTAATTTGCCCTTTGCAATCGATCGATTCCATTCAATTAATTTGAGATGGCGGTGCAAACACTTGTGGGCATAAATCTCACCCGTTTGTTACCGGAGAATTTGTTATCTCCGGCGATTTTCAAAACTCGATGTTCCCTCTCCGTCTCCGATTTCTCTACCGCCTGTGAGACCGAGCCCTCTACTTCTTCGGTTTACTATTTGTTGGCGCACAAGCACCGTTTGTCTCATGATGTGGCTTCTCGCGCCGCCTCCGTTTTAAGTCCCGTGGGCCGCCAGAAAAAATACGATTCAGTACTCGCCTTCTTCGTACAGATGGGCTTCACGAAAGCCCAGCTGGAAAGAACCTTGAATCTCCGTCCTCACCTGCTCGCCGCCGATCTTGAGGGAACCATCAAGCCCAAGATCAAGATATTCAAGGACCTAGGCTTCTCCTCGGAAGAAATTGCCGCCATAGTGTCGAAAGAGCCCGTGATTCTGCACGTCAGCCTGATAAATAAAATCATCCCCGCATTGTCCTGGTTAAAGGGCATGCTGGGTTCGAGTAAGAAAGTGGCCCGGGTTCTGAGAGATAATGGTCGGCTGCTTTTGACCGATTTTGAAAAACACATTTTGCCCAATATCCGGATCCTGATGAGCCATGGGATGACAAAAGACGATGTCGCCAGGCTCATCTATGTTTACCCGCGGGTCATACTGTACAATCCAGAAACTCTTATCAGATGCTTGGACACCAAAGACAAAATGGGCATTTCTTGGAGTTCAAAAATGTCCGTTTATGCTGTCGGGGTCATTTGCTCGATGCCCAACGGGAGTTGGGAACGCAAGCTGCTGGCTTTTCAGGAAATTCTCGAATTCTCGAAGTTCGAAATGATTAGGACTTTAAAACGGGACCCCAAGGTTTTCTGTGTTTCTGAAGATAAGATGAGAAAGGTGAAACAGATTTTGCTGGGGACTGGGAAATATGATAAATCATCGATTGCTGAATATCCGAAGTCACTAATGTTCAGCATCGAGAGGCGGCTGAAGCCGAGGTTTGAGGTTCTGGGGAAGCTGGAGAGTAAGGGCCTGATCAAGGAGTGGCCTTCTCTCAGTGATGTTTGCCGATTGGCAGACGAGAAGTTTTTTGAGGAATATGTGGAATCATACATGAGTGAAATTGGTGAGGATTATTTGGGGAAGAGAGCACTCGATTGCAAAAGAGAGGCGAAGCTCGTGTAAGCTGGTTAATGGTGCGGATATTTTTCTCAGGGATGTTCATTTGTGGGGTGGAGAGGTAAGTAGTGTTAAATAGAAACTTGTCTTTAAGACTTCTCTTAATGTTTGGTTTTCATGTACATTGGACTGAGTAATGCCACAGTTTGGAAGTGCAGTTTCAGTTTAAGTGTGTATGGTAAGGCACTATAAGCTTATTTAATTAGCTTATATGCATTTTGTATTCAAATGAGCCTCCTTTGGCAGGATAAGTTTTTTCAAAGAAGCTCGAGTTTATATCTGATGCTTCATGAGGTACTGTTCAAAAGTGTCTATTGGAATTTTTTGTATTAGCCAACTTTTAAGCTAATTTATCAAATATTTTTATTATGATTGTGCTTGGTAAGCACCTTAGTTGACTTATATCGCTTGTATAGTTGTATAGTTAGCCAAACATCCTCTAATTTGTTTCTTGCTTATACAGAGAGACGCTTGACGAGAAAAGTGACAGGAATAAGATATATAGGCTGCTTTAGTGTATCTAAATTATGTACAAAGATATTGGTTCCTCTGTCTGCTCCACACAAAAGATTAGGCTACTAGTAAGTAAAATTTTCAAGTGTTTTCAAAATATACCCTCCAAGTTAATCCGAAGTTTACTTTTATAATTTTACCTTTTTGATAGTCATCCAATTATAGGAGGGAAAAAAGGGACATAATGTTTAAATTATCTAATTAAAGAAACCATTTTATCTTTGTTGGTCGAAAGGAAACAGATGAATATATTGTTTGAGGTTTAGTCATTGAACAGGAATTTGTAAGGGAACATAGACATTTTTCCTTTGAGGTTACGTATCCATACATGGTCACAAATTAATTGTATTAGTCTAGATTTTTGGAAGATTATATAATAAATTGAAAATGACGTGAAACGTTTGGAGTTTTCATGTCTAATATAAGACCATACAAAGAATAATGAAATTTAAATTATCCGTGTATATATAAACTAAATTGGGGAGATTTCTTGGGTAGCTTATGATGTTGATATGTCAAGTTTGTAAAATAGCTAAGTTTTATATTTCGATTCTTTCAAATGATTTGTGTGAGACTGATTAATACATGTTATAGTATAGTGTAAGTCTGAGCAGAACTGAGTTTTGGCCAAACATGAGCAATGAAAAGTATTTGGCCAGATGATCAAAATCCAATACAATTGCTGAATATATAGTTATTTAATATGGTGACCACAAATATATCTTTGAAATGGTGCTTAATGTTGAATGCATGAAGGGCTTCGGCTTGCAAGAGTGTTGGAATGTAGAAGAAAATCTATGGATAAGGGCTTAATGAATGTTGGAGGATGTTTTAATGTGTTTATTTATGCTTAGTAATTGGTTCTCTGATTATTGAAACCTATGAACTCAAGCTGTAAGCTTTTTGGAATTTAGAAGGATACATGTTGGCTATGTTCTGTGAGAGTTCACGTCTGTTGCAACACATGCCTGGAGAGAAAATAAAGATGATGAAGCTTGAGGCTGGAAAGTTTGATGCTGTCATTGCGTACGTGACTCATTATCAATTTCACTTGCTGGTGCTTTGCCTGTCGAAAGTGAAATGGGTAACTTGCTTGAATTCGTTTATGAAAATTCTGTCTCGTTCGGCTATATAAGTTGGTACAACACTATGTACACTTTCGTGGTGTTTGAGTATATTATTGCCAGACTTTAGTGGATTATGATTACTATTATCTTGTTCTGAGGGACACACAGAATAATTGTTAGTTTTAGTTTTTATTATTTTAGAATTGCATATTGTAATTTACTAATCATATTATTTTACAAGAATTCTACCAATGTATCTTAAAAAAAAAAAAGTTAAATTATGATTCTCATTGCAAAATAAGTGTTGATTGTTGACCTAACATCGGTGGTTATGATCTTGATTGTTCACTTAATATAATATAAAAATTAAAAAAGAACTTAATATATAAGACAAATAATATGATAAGTTTAGACATAAACTTTTATCTTTTATATTTAGATTGACATTATTGTAATATTTTGTATTATTTTTTTTAACGGAACGATAGGAAGCACTCATATTCACAACACAACCGAGACTAGGGAACAACTACTCAGTCGAATATACAACCAACTGAACAGTTGACTCTAGTATGGAGGACTACACGTGTACACAGACGACATCCTAGAGTTAACCTACAAGACTACAACACAAACACAACTAAAAAGCTCTTAAAAGGAGAAGAAACAACCCAACAGGAGAATACACCAAATGCACTCCCAACAAGAAAAAAGAAGATAAAACACAAACAAAACAACACACGAAAAAAAAAAACACACCTAAACGAAAACTGAACAAACAAATGCCCTTCCCACAGCAATAAATTCAAAACCCAGCACGAAACACCAATGGTCCCATGATCACCAACTCAAACGGACTGGGTCGCAGCCCGAGAAACAGCTCCCGAAACTGTCGAAAACCGCCTAACTGAAAATATTGCAATATTTTGAATAGAAGATGAAAATTGAATAAATTAGTGTTCAAACATGACATTATAATTTGGTTTTATTTATAGGTAGACAATAAACCAATATTGTGAACCAGTAATGTGAAAGAAAAAATCGTAGGAAATGATAACAAATGAGCGAGAGGGTCTCACCATAAGGGAATAAAGAGTGATGGTATATTATTGACTGTGGAGACTGAAAAATAAATTATATATTTATCATTCAGTTATTCAATGGAATTTCGATCATCTAAAGATTTGTGACTAAATTGACTGCTTTAGTTCTAGAACTATGTAACTATAATTTTTATAAATAAAAATAACATTATATGTTAATTACTGTTAATTTTTTGTTTATAACATGCATTTGTTCCTTATGAGAATAAGGATAATATATTGTCGGTAATTCGCTACTGAACCACCGCAGTGGGGAAAGTTCAACATGATTTACTATAATAAATCAAATACTTTTTTACTTTTATAGTGAAAGATATAATATTAGGGCATGAGTTCGAAGGAAGTTCCTGCATGCATTAAATCCATAAATAAGGGAAGTTCTTGTTTCCTAAATTAGTTTATATTATGTTAAAAGAATATTTGATCTTATCATGTGATTACACTGTAGGAAGTCGGTTCATATGGGAAGAGAGCTTCATGCAAGTAGGAGATCACAAATGATAAGGAAGAGATTGGATAACTAAGGCAAGTGAATATTTGGAGAGAGAAGAAGTGTCCTATACTTGGTAGGACTTCTTGGATATACTAAAAGTGAGACCAAGGACCGTGTGGAGAATAGATAGAAAGGAAATCATATAAAAACCTACCTTGAAGATTGAAGAGCTGCTGCTGAAGCTATTAGTTTCATTCATCTCCTTCAAGCTTCAAGTTTATCGCTTACCTTTTGCTTTTGAGTTTAGTTCTCGGAACACTTGATTACTGAGGGACGAAAACCATTTCATTTGTATTGTTTTTCCTTACTCTGATTTGAACATTTTTAGTCATTTACACTTAGGGAGTAAGTGTGAATCATAAGTCCACGGGACGTGGCCAGAGAAGTAGTTGATAGGCTAGATCATAGTTGTGGTTAGAATAGAAGGGAGTTCTATTTTGTAAATCCAAACTATGTGTTCAATAGATGTCAATGAAAGAGCTCTGAGGAGCAGCGGGATGCTTCCCTGAAGAGTTTTTTAAATCTTTGGTTATTGCTTCCGCAAATTGTAGTTTTTATACTTGTTCGTACAACGTTGAGCGCACTCGGGATAATTTTATACGTTTCAATTGGCACCAGAGCAGTGTTCCTATTCTACATACGGGATAAAGATCTTTGGGACTGGGATTAGTCACCATGAATCATGATGGGATGTCTGTTTCGCACCCTCCGTTCCTTGATTGTTCGAACTATGGATACTGGAAATCCATGATGATTATCTTTCTGCGTTCTCTGGGGAAAGGGACATGGCAAGTGGTGGAATCGGGATGGTCATTACCAGTTATGCCAAAAGTTCCATCTGAATCTAAGGAAGGCGAGTCTTCGAATGCAAAATCATCAACCTCGGCTACCCGTGTTCTAGTCGAGAAACCTAGAAGTATTTGGACTGACGATGAAAGGCAAGCTGAAGAAGCAAACTTTCGGGCATTATATGCAATCATGTCGGCTGTGGATCCTACTCGTCACAAGATGATCATTCAATGCACAACCGCTCAAGATGCGTGGAGAATTCTGGAAAGACAATTTGAAGGTACAGACGCTGTGAAAACTTCGAAGCTCCAGAGGATCTCGACTGAACTTGACGAGATTCGCATGAGAGATGATGAGACCATAGATATGTACTATGCTCGCTTCTGTGATCTTGTAAATCAAAGCGCAATGCTTGGTGAACATGTATCGGAGGCAAGACAGGTACAAAAGCTGATGAGAACCTTGTCGGACAGATTTGGAATCAAGATAACAGCCTTGGAAAGCTTCCATAGGATACAAACCCTGGGCATCGATGATCTTCTCAGTGATCTTCATACATTCGAGATAAACAATGGGTTCGATTCGATGAAGATAGACAAAGGAAAAGGATTGGCGCTTAAAGCAAAAGTTCGTACCACGATTGTGGAAGAAGAAGATTCGGATGAGGAATCCTTCGATGCTGACGAGATTATGAAAGCTCTCACCGTTCTTACCAAGAACGTGTCAAAACTGAAGAAATTTCAGAAGAGAAGGTTCCAAGGAATCAAGTCTTCTGAAGGTGGTAAGAACTTTATACACCAATCAGGAGAACAGCGCCCGGGCATGCAGCTGTCAAAGTTCCAGAATGCCAATCAAAGTGTTGAAAAGGACCAGTGCAGGGAGTGTAAAGGGTTTGGGCATTTTCAGAAAGATTGTCCAAATTTCAAAAGGAAGAACAAAACCTATAAGGCTACATGGTCCGACTGCAGTGATGAGGAAGAGGAAGAAGCAGAGAAGACTGAGAATTCTCTCTACTCTAACAACTTTGCAAATTGTCCACTTAATGAATTTAACTGCTTTACCTCCTCTGTACATCTCACTGATGTTGAATCTGATG